AATAAAAAATGGACAGAAGTCATTCAGATAATACAGCAAAATATAGTCTTGTGTGCTTCATAAAGAGTTATATTTATTTAGAATTGCAGCATTTAAAGCAATAACAAAATACTTTTTGAAAAGATATAGACACTTCTGAAATTAAAAAATATAATATAAGGGAATATATGTTGGATGACTTCTTTTGATATACCTCTCCTCCTTTGTTAAATTTTCATTTATTTATGTATGTATGTATGTATGTATGAATTTATTTATTTATTTTTATTGATGTGTTACCTTAATGATAAATAATCATTTTGCTATGACTTAGAGGTGTGGTTATAAGTGCATGATATGCTTATGTTAATTTTGACATTCACTAATCACATTTCAGTCAGTATTTACTCATCCCCATGTCTTCCATTATCCACAAAAGGGGATGTTTTGCAATATGTTAACACTGCTCATTTACATACAACAAAATCATGTAGTAATCACATGCTGCTACATTACAAAAAAGCAGCAATGAAGTTGGCATGAAATCAAAATCAACCCTATTTATTTTCTTAATATATTACACAATTCATCCATGCAAATTAAAATGCCATTTATTATAAAATCTTATTTATTCCGATTTTAAATATAATTTATTCCTGTGATTGCAAAGCTGAATTTTCAGTCTTCAGTCACATGATCCTTCAGAAATCATTCTAATATGCTGATTTGATGCTTAAGAGACATTAATATTATCAGTTGAAAACTGCTTTATTTTTTTGTGTAAACCATGATACTTTTTCGGGATTATGTGATGAAAAGAAACATCAGCATTTATTCAAAATAGATTTATTTTTATTTTTTTGTAACTGTCACTTTTTAGTCTTTACTGTCACTTTTGATCAATTTAATGCATCCTTGCTGAACAAAAATAAAACTTCTGAACAGTTTTTATATAATTTATAATTTAAGAAATAAATGTCAGACTTTTACACTTTCCAAGTCTTCTGAAGCTTTCAACATCTTTGTGTGAGGAACAGACCACAAAAAATCTAATCTCAACTCTCATTTTTGCAATGCATTGTGATTACAAGAAACTTGAGAACCGATGGTGTTTGTCATCACTGACGTCAACCAGGCATGATTCATATGGAATCACAGTGTTTGAATATGTTCCATTGTGAATTACAGAATGTAATGTTTGGTTGTACTATTTCTTTAACAGTGATGCAATAGACCCTCACTGGAATTAAAGCATATTAGCACTCTTATCTCAATTAAGTTTTCCCACTGACTCATATATACTTCTGTCTTGTCTCCCTGGTGGTGAAATTTGTTTTATGGCCCTCACCTGCTTGTACTTGAAACCAGCAAAATAGGCCGCCAGGTCTCTCAGCCCCCCTTCAAAACTATGACCGTCTTCTCAACCTTTCCCGAACTTCTAAAGCATTCATTATCTTACCAGTTCCCCCCCCCCCCAAACCAGTGACTCAACCTTTCCCTTTAACATGCCGAACTTCTAAACCATTCATTATCTTACCAGTTTCCCCCCTGTGCCGCCGCACACTAACAAGTGAACTATAACAGCCCTATTCTATCATTGAAATGATTAATTTGAATAGCCAAAGGTTTCCTCACAATTATTTCTCCATATATATATATCCGAGGGCCTTTATAAACCGCTATGACTATCTATGAAAAATCTGGCCCACATTTTCTCCATTAATTTTTGCATAAGATCCATTACATCGCTGCGGGGTAGTATGTTTAATCTGCCCCACTTCAATAAGCACATCTCTGCCTACCTTGAAAATATTGTCAAAAACAAAGGTGGTTATTATTTATCAGTGCCATGATTGATAAGAAGGGGCCGAGAAATGCCGGTAAATGTCTACAGTTGGGTCCAAATGAGACCACATTAAAAATCTGGGATCTTTTTTTTTTTTCACAAAGTAAAACAAAGACAATCCAAATGGGAACTGAAATCATTTCTTTTCTTTAGAGCACTGAAGCCTTTGTTTAAGGCAGCAAAGTGTCCGACATATGCCATACTGGGATCGTACTGCAGTCAGATAAGGTGAAACTCCCTTGCAAAGTGAGCAAGGGTTTATTACAGCCATTTTGTGAGATTATGCAGACACATTGGCTTGGCAAAAGTAGTGATTAGGCAGCAGCCTTCCCACGTCTTGCTTCCATATGGGTCTTTACAGCTCCAGTGAAGCCATTAATTTAGGAGGATCAGTGCGAGAAATATCAGTACCCACCGAAATTTGGTCGGACTCACAGGCACTATTGAAGGACACCAAATGACATGCAAGGAGGACTTCCAAAAGCCTCTGTGACTGCCTACGACTTCTCCCGTTTCAGCTGGACTAGTATTTATGGCTAAATCCCCTGGTAGCCCAACAAGTCGGAGCAGTTCTCTGGAGATTACATCCGTGTTCGCACACTTACCTGTCAGTGTTCCTGACAAGCTTATTCCTCTGAGCTCTTGGAATAAACTCCTACACCTTCAATGTGAAATCTACTTTAGCAAACTCCATTTCACACCTCAACTGTAGCCTGGTTTCATAACTCATAACCAACAAATGTTGGTAAATAAACAAGTGATGCTGCTTATTGAGTGAACATTTAAGTCCTAAAAAAGATACAGACATTTGGCTACTTCTAGTTTTGTATGGTGGTTTGATAAACATATGACTAGGGTGACACTATTTTGGCATTGCAATTGGCTACAATATCATAATTAAATATACAGTAATTAGAATATCAGCACCTTTAAGCACAGTTTATTTATCAAAATGTAGTCCAAAAGACCACTTCTGGGACCCCCCTCCTCCACACCACACCACACCACGTTTTTGGACTTCAGTTATGAGATGATGTAAAGGAGTAGTTCACCTAAAAGTGAAAAACTGCTGAAAAAATTTGCTCAATTAATTTTACTCACTAAAATAGCCCTGACGGCACCCATTCACTATAGAGGATCCATTAGTGAGCAAGTGATGAAATGCTACATTTCTGATCAAGACACAAACTCATCTACATCTTGAATGGTGTGAGGGTGAGTAAATTTTCAGCAAATTTTCATTTCTGGGTGAACTATTCCTTTAACAATTTGTGTGGCAATGCATTCAGACAACAACTGGCCCATTTAATAGTCAGGGTCAGAGAGGGCGGAAAAACAGGTGTACTACTGCAACACTGCACTCTACTCATCTCACTCGCACAAAACACAGCTCTGAACTTCTCAAACTGCATCAAAACACATGTAAACAAATGCATAGATAATCAACAGGTTTTACACAAACTTCTAGAGATATGTTAGTTCAAGTGCACTAAAGTAATGGGGGGCATGCAAATAAGAAGAAATTTGTGTTGTTTCACACTTCAACATTTCAATTAAATTATTTTGATACTATAATTTGCACCGAAAAGAACGTTGCATTTAATTAGATAATTGCAAAATAGGAGCATTTTTCACTAGCTCAGATTTTGGATCCACAGAGTATATATATATATATATATATATATATATATATTGTATATTGTAATTTAAATGACTGTCAGTAAGTATGCCTGCTGTCTTTCCACTCTCATCCAGCAGAGACTTATCTCAGTCTATTGGTAATTACCAATCAGTATGCAAGTCTTTGAAGGAATCGTCTCCAGGCAACCATATAGATCAGCCAAGCTCTATTCCATTCATCAAATTAGAATGAAACGTCTCCTCCCAGATCAAAAATGCTGTAGTGTGTGGAGGCTATTACTGATACTGTAGCTAATAACATATTTGCTCTACTAATATTTCAATATGAAATTGTATTTATTTTATCTCTCAGAGATTGTACAAGATTAATACAAAGGTATTAAATAGGCCAAAATGCATACATAACAGCAAAATAAAAAACACCAGACAAATGTTACATTTATAAAATGCAAAATTTCAAAATAAGGCAAAAATGTGGATACTATTAGGTGATTTAGTATTTAAAAGTAAAATGTTAAAAACATTTAGATACAATAAACAAATTTCAAAATAAATATTGCAAAAATAATATAAATTAAAAGTTAAAAAACAATAATAAATAAAGTAAAACAAAGTTTTTCACTATGCATGATAATTACAAACAGATAAAATGATAAAAACAATCTAATAAATTGTAGAGGATATAAAACATTTTTTTAGATGTATGAATTGTGATATTTAGAAAACATGAAACCAGCAGAGGTAATATCTGTTTAAGTTAAGTTCTGATGACACACTTTGGTCTCATCTTCAAGCGTACAAACTCAGCAGATGTTTGCAAGAAATATTTTCACAGGAACAAACATGATGATTAATCTTTGAGAGATATCAGGAAGTCTCCCATAGCATAATGTGAATGACAGAAGAAATCATAATTGAACTGATGAATTGTGGGTTGAATTTAAAGGAACAAGAAATGCGTTTCATAAGAAATCAAATGATCGACTTTCGTAATTGCCCAAAATAATAAATCATACTAACTAGCAGCAAGAAATCTGTGTAATTATCCAGAAACTATGTATCAAACCAAACTGTCGCTATTCTTCAAAACAATAATATCTCTCAAGGCTTATGCAAAACAACAATGCATTTCATCTATCTAAAGGCCTTTTTTACATTCACAAACACAGCGTCACTTATTTGACTGATGTGTGTAAAAGGAAAAACAGCATGGGTATAATTCATAATTCAAGGATTTCTCTTAAAGATCCAACATTCCAGGTCTCTACTGCATCACATGACTTAATATTGTGCTCAGTTCTGAATACCTAAGCAAAAAAAAAAAAAAAAGCCTGCTTTTTTGCATAAAATCTACATACAAAAGATGAATAGTTTGACAAAGGTGTAAAAAAAAAAACATCACAATATAAGGCAATGGAGCTGAGTCACCAATTTGTTCCTCTTTAAAAAAAGGAAAATAAATCCACTATATCCACCCAATCAGATTTTTTAAAGTATTAAAGCTGATGTGTGTATTTTTTTTTCAAATGTTAAAATATTTCCTCATATCTATTCAGCAATTCAAAGTAAGTCATTTTTAGGTTGATTTCTCTCTGCAGCAGACAGTGTTTGGGAAACCATAATCGTTTTTGAAATTCCATTTGGCGATATTAGTGTCACACTTCAGCTTTAAATAAAGGCAAAGTTCTATGAAAACAACCATGACAAGATCAGAAACACTACTCCGTGAACATGGGCCATCTTGCTTGCGTCTGAACTGAAGTATCCCCTTGAGTTCAGGCCTGTGATGGAGAGGAACACAAAGACATCACAGACAGGATTACATTACAAATATCAAACAATTGCCTGGTTAGTAGTTAGATTCTGTGAGTACAAGCTCAAAAATCAGTGTGCACTGCTCTTAATGAGCTCACATGAAGCCTTACTTGACATCTTTGGAATACGTATAGGGCTGCTGCTGCTGCCGTCTCCTCCGTCACTCAGGGCTTTGATCTGAACGAGCAGGTCCTCTTCTGATGGCAACTGAAGCTCCACGGACGTCCTGTTGGTCTCGACTACGCTGCTTCCCCTGTGCCAGCTTTGACGATACACAACCTGCGCGGGAGAAAGTGGGTCAGTGAAATGCAGCTAGTCTGTGCCAATTAGCTACAACCACTCAAAAAATAAATAAGTCACAACAACAACAAGGATATTTAATGATGTACAGCAGCCCCAAAACATATTTGAACACTTAATTCTGAATAATAATAATAAAAAATGTTGGAATGTGCTTAGATAAAATATAAAAAAAAAAAAAATATTATGAAGAAAAATAGCACAAGCACACTTTTTAAGCATAACATTTCACAAAAATAGGGCAAGTTTGTAAATTTATAAAACAGTTCATTATAAAACAATAAATTAAAATTAAACTATACATTTCTAATACAAAAAAGTTTTATATATTTTTGAATTTAATATTATATTTTATCTATCTATCTATCTATCTATCTATCTATCTATAAACATATAAAAATAAAGCATTTAATAAAATAATAAAATAGTTTTTATTATTGCAACAGCTATACATATGCAACAGCTGCTCTGAAAAAAAAAGAAGAAGAAAAAAGTGTATGAAAGTCTGTTTCACACAATTCATTCTTCTTGCAATCTTCAAAACCCAGGTAAGGGAGGGAATTCAAATTAAATAATCATTAGACATTTCAAATTTCAAATTGATTTTCAGTGGGAGGATTATTAGTATGTTTACTGACATATCTTGCTGTGAAGAAAATAGGTTTCACAATCCATATATCATTTAAATTTCTCTTTTTCAGGCTGACAGTGCAAAATAAATAGCCACCAAACTGATATTCTTTCTTACTCATACAGACTAGAAAATTTATGATTATTGATTGTATTATTCTGCAGGCGCCTCACAGCGGACGGTTAGGATTGCAAATGAATAGTGCTTCTGTCTTATGAAAGTGTCTTTGGTGAGGCCTCGCTAAGCTTGTAGCTCCAGATGGAAGATAGCATCAGAGCCGTCCAGCTGTTTGCCGACCCTACAAACCTCTACATTTCAGAGAGGCCATCGTCAATTAGCTGGCAGCACGCTGCAGCAAATTAATTTGCTCAAAAGAAATGAATCACATTGGACAATTTTTAATCCTCTTTCTGAACATTTTGTGTGAACTCTTGCTACAGATGTCTCGGATTTTGAGCGCAGCAGGAAGATCGGAGCAGCTTGTTCTGAAATGTAAAAAAGCCTCGGATGTTTCTGAACTGTACGTATGACCTTGAATGTGAAAGTAAATTTGAAAAAAAGTTAAAGATTACATTAAAGGGGAAATCAAATCTTGACAGTGAAATATGTTTAGATTTGTTTTACCAATCCCATAAGATGACATTTTAACATTTCTAACGCAACTCTGACTGGATAGCTAAATGTGCATCCAATCATACGAACAGGAAAACATTTTTACAGTAACAATTTACAGTAAGGTTGCATATGTTAAAGGGATAGTTCACCACCCAAAAATGAAAATTCTGTCATCATGTACTCACCCTCATGTTGTTCCAAACCTGAATGCATTTTTTTCAGCAGAACACAAAAGAAGATATTTTGAAGAATGTTGGTCACCATATAGTTTTGGTTCCCATTGACTTCTACTGTGTTTCTTGGAAGTCAGTGGAAACCAAAACTGTACGGTTGCCAACATTCTTCAAAATATCTTCTTTTATTAGAATTTTTAGGTGGATTTTCCCTTTAAGAAGTGACTTTATGATATTTAATGATATGAAAAATGTCTTTAGTAACAAAAAGTACTGTATAGAACCAATTGACACTTATGGGAAACTAGCATTAAATACAATACAATGAAAAATGATTTGCACTTCAACTAAGTTCAAAGGAAGTTGCATAAGCATATCTGGAAAGGCTTCACAAGCACTTCAAATAAAAAGAATGTAATGAAAAAACATAGCATATAATGCAGCTTTCAAAGGTAATGTTCTCAGTCATTTATCTCTGAGTTGTTTTATGTGAAACACCAGCTTATGTGGCACATTGATACAGCATGTTTATCAGCAAAGCAACAGAAGAGCGAGAGCAAAAAAAAAAAAAAACAGATTACCTTATAGCCGGTTACTTCTGATTCATTGTCCATCGCCTTCACATGTTCCCAGTTCAGAAAGACTTTTGAGTTTGTCAGGTTCCATTCAATGTTCCCTGGGGGTTGACTTGGAGCTAAAAGACATAAATCATATACTGATTTACTTCCAACTTGCGTAATATGACTGAACAACATCTCCAGTACATTTTGTCCTTTGCAATCTTAACAATCGGCAGCGCACCAGCTGAGGTATCATCTAAATGTAAGACTTTCAAAGCTCACTGGCGCTGATTCAATTCAGCTTGGCTCTCACTTTAAATTAGCTGGACTATAAATAGAACTTTAGGAGTCGTTTTAATGTAACAGCAAAAAAAAAAACTGCTATGAAACAAAGAAACATTGTGCAGAACATTAAAGGAATATCTTACCCTAAATCGTAAATTCTGTGATCATTTATTCACCCTCTTGCCTTTCATATCCCTTAACAGAATGTCGAAGCTGGTCTTTTCCAGACAATAACGTTGAATGGTAACCACCTCAACAATTTAAATGTCTGTCTATTTCTCATACATCGATGAGATTGTAAGACCTCATCCACTTTCATTGTAAGAAAACAAAGCCAGACATTTTAATGCTGCTTGAATGTCAGCATGCCCATCTTTCCTTTATTTCCATAACTCCCTAACAGTAAAATAGTTGCCCTTGATGTAGGGTTGCTTAGGAGCAATTTTATGAATTTTGTGTTTGCCACTGCCTGGTCATGTGCCCACACAAACAATTCTACTTTTCACAGTAATTGAGGAATTTATACATAGTTTAACCGCAATTGAGCACTGAACCAGGGGAAATCTGACCTCTTTTCTCATCAAATTTCATGGCTAGGACTTTGTGCACCACGTATTCATAGTTTTAAAAAATTGAGGATAATAGCTATGTATTTGAAGCAATTTAACTAATGATACCCAACCCACTAAGTCTACAATACATACCATTATGATAACTATACTAGATCATAACAGTGGACGGTGGTATCACGGTACGTTTAGTCAGAGAATCTGCCGTACAAAGGAAAAAGGACAATCGGCTATCTGCTCCGACACAAAGAAAGAGATCTGTCAAGCTTTTTATTTTAAAACGGCCTTAATTGTATGCTCAGTCTGTTAGCTAAAAATAGCCATAAGACTACCTCTATAGTAATGTTATAGTTTATCTGATGAGTTTCTGGCTCAGTTAAACACAGTGTTTTGTTCTCAATTATTGGCATCAGATAATGTGCCTATTTAGCCACGGTAGTTTAACAAAGGCCACCTTAATCTCTTATAGTGTTGAGAAAACCCCACTAAGAGTTTAACAGGGTAGGGTTAATTTTTGGGTGAATTACCCCTTTATTACACATTTAAAACCCAGTAATCTCATCAGAATCAGAATCGGAATCAGAAAGAGCTTTATTGCCAAGTATGTTTGCACATACAAGGAATTTGTTATAGTGTCACAAGCTTCCAGTACACGGAGACAACAACAACACACAGATAATAAAAATGAGATGTGAATAAAATACACATGCATAAATATAAACCACAAAAAAAAGAATAAATTGTATGTACAGGTGTGCTATAGATGGAATAGGAATACAATAAAATAAAATAAGTTGTAGGGATGTACTAGGGTTTAGGGTGATAAATAGGTATAAGGTTATTGCACATACTGTACTTTAATTGCACAATGGGAGAACATTAACTGTTCATGAGGCAGATTGCCTGGGGAAAGAAACTGTTCTTGTGCCTGGCTGTCCTGGTATTCGGTGCTCTGTAACGCCGACCAGATGGCAAAAG